GCTGCCCACCGCCTGCGTCACCTCGGGGTACTCCATGTCGCTGACGCACTCGCCAAACGCCGGTGGTGGCGGCGGTGGTGGCGGGGGCGGCGGGGGCGGCGGGGGCGGCGGGCCGGCAGGCACAGGCGCCGGGGCGCACACATCGCCGTGCCCTCCACTGGCGCACTCGCACTTGCAGCCACTCACCGCCGTTGTCAGCGCACCGAAGCAGTCGCCGTCCTTCGTGCACTCCCCGCACACCGCAACCGTCGTCACTTTGTCGATGCCGTTGTGCCACATTTCAGCCGCCGTCAGCACCTTCCCCGCGACCGTCAGGCACCCCGCGGCGAACTTGTAGCCGGCGTCAGCGTGCGTCAGCAGGGACCCCGACACCCCCGTGGAGCCCATCTTGCAGCCCGTCAGCGTCACCGCACTGCTGTTGTCGACGCTGATGGATGCTAATACGAAGTAGTAGAACATTGCCCCCTCCCCCACGTCGTTGTCGCGCCAATCCAACCAGCTCGACTGCCGGACGGTCCACGAGTCGAGTGAATATATGGCGTAGGACACGGGGCCGCGGTTCCCCACCACGCGCAGGACGCTGTGGTCCGACACACTGTACCCATGGAACTGGAACAGGAAGGCTCCTCCGGCGGTCGTTGTGTTGTTGAGCAGCGCTAAACCGTAGCTACCTCAAAAGACGGGACAAAAAAAAACTTATATCGCGCTACCTTCCTCGTTCTCGAGTGTTTTTGCAAGCTGCAGTGGTTGAGCGACGGAATGTTGTTGTTGTTGTTGTTTTTTTTATGCTTGCTACACTGCTGCGTTCCTGGGAGTGTCCCCACGGATTCGCGTTTGTGTGGAGTGTGTGCTTGCGGTGATTTTTCTCGTTCGCCTAACGTCTGCCCCGCGTGCGTGGCAGCGTGCGTGAAGAGAAGGAGGTGGGGAAGGCGCCCGGCGCCGCAGAGCGGGGGACGAGGTCTGCAAAGTCGGCTAGGCATAAATGCGCCCGCTCACACAGTCCAGCGGTCCGCGCCGCGGTGGCTGGCAGGGTTCAATGCGAGCACGCGGGGCAACCACACGGGAGCGGTGGGTGCGGGGGAAGGACGGTGTTGGCGCCCCCCCCCAGAAACACCACTCAGCGGGCGGAGAACACAACAAAGAAGCGGCAAACGGCAGCCCTCACGTTGCCAGCCACAATGGGCCGGGGGACACAAAAGCAACAACAACAACCGTAAGGACAAAAAAGAAGAAGCAGCAAAGTGTTGTTTGTGTCAGTGGGGTCAACTTTTACTTCGTGCATGTGCCGCCTTCGTCCGTTGCATTTCCGCCGCCGGCGCCGCCCCACCTATTTTCTCTGCAGCTGCGCATCCCCCCCCCCACCCGCCGCCGTTCCCTCCGTGCAGCCATCACACAGTTGCGGCACCGTAACCACCGCGTGAGAAACAAACCGAATAAAATTAAGATACTACAAACCCCTCTTTCCCCCTTCCTATTCATTCACCATACTTAGTTGCCTACTAACTAGCACCGTCTCCCCCAGGGGGTACTACATATTCACTAACGCAGACACACGCAGCGTCGCACGGGCAGTTGCCCAAACCCCTTCCCCTTCCCCCCAACACACGCACACACACAACCCCTTTGTCTACCATCCACGGTGGTAGAGGTGCTCTGGGGCGCCGGTGAGCGTGTAGGTGAGGTGCCGGAAGAAGTCCTGCCTGTCACTACCCCAGAAGAGGTTTCGGCGCTCGTCTGGGGTCATGGTGCGAAACTGCCCCACCGTCGGGTTGTTGTTAATCCGCACAAACGCAAGCTCGCGCATGTAGCCCATGTCGTCGAAGCCCCACTTCCGAGCCTCCGTACGCACCGCAAACTCCAGTGGGTCCTCATCCAAGTAGTCAATCTCAATAGGAGGAGGCGTGATGGGAAAGTGCAGGTCACGCCTCTGCTGCATCGCACACAGGCTCGCCACACGCGGGAAAACACGGCGCATCACTTCTCTTTCTTCTTCTTTTTTCTTCTTAAGTTTATTGCAACTGCTAACGACGGTAGATCCTCTACAGGCACATGCGCGACGAACCGCAACAAAAGCGAGAGAGCGAGAAAAAGTCAGTCTATAAAACCGTGCGTGACGCAAAAATAAAAACAGTAGTAATAAACAAAATAAGTCCCTCAGCAAACAAATAAAACACACAACAACAGAAAGCGCACGTAAACGATAAATTCCGGCCTGGCGCCAATA